TGCTAAGGGTCTTAAACTTAACAGAAGGAATACAGATAGCCCCTGTGTAAAGCCAGACGATATAGTTTTCCCAAAGACTTGGGCATGCCATCACAATATAAGTGGTCCTTTTCTATTTAAGGCAACACAGCTGCATATTTAGAGTTGATTGAGGGAAACTGTAGAGGTGATGCAGAGATCTGATCTGGATTAGGACCTTGTTAACAGCTTATTTATTACAATTTATGTTGTACTGTGGATTGTATGCGGTATGTGTATGTGTTTGTCAAATGTTTTGATATTGCCAGTGGGCTAATCAATAAAACGTATTACTCCTATAGTGTAGATGCATCCTGTATTGTGACTGTTACTATCTCAAGGAAGCTTTGAATGCATCTCTCCCAGTGTAGTCTAAGGCAGGTGTTCTACTATATCCTTTTGTTATTGTAAATACAGCTTTTCCCCCACAGGAAGGTCAGCTGTTGGTGCAGTGCAGTTAGTTGCTGTGCCAGCTTTAAGGAGGCATTATTTTTTACAATAAGGCTCCTGGAAGTATGATAGCAAAGCAATTACTTCTTTCTCAATAGTAACCCAGAATACTGTTCTGTCTTCCTATCCTTAGCCTGCTTTACTTACAACCACAGCTTTGAGGGGTTTTTTACACTTCAAACATATATATTTGTGAGTCACCCTTACAAATTTTCCAGCATCTCAGCAAAAAATCAAAAAACATTTTCTTTTGCTGGCAAAAATCCATTCCAATACTCCACGCTCCCTGGCCCTAAGCCATTCAATACGATAAGCGGCTAAACCGATTTAATTTACTTTTCAGAAACGATTCCTGTTAACAGTGAAAGGAACGCCTAAGGACAAAAGCAAATTCCCCTGAGCCGAAGCTTGTTCAAACTACCTGACTTGACAGTGACACTGCCTGGTTCTTCATTAACTCGGTGATCATTCATTAGCTTGCTGGGGTTAAAAGATAGGACAAAATGCTCTGTCTCTGGCAGAAGGGTGAAAGCCTCTGTATGTAGTCCAGGCTGCATGAGTTTAAAAAAACACCAAAAAAGAGAAGAAATGCTTTGAGATGAATGGAGAGGATGCAGCCTTCCTCAAATCACCGTCCTCCAGATGTTTGAACTATAAATGCACAAGCCAGTGTGTAATCAGGAGTGATGGAAACTATAATAAAAATGTCCTAAAATAACACAGAGAACCCTTTCTCACTTTCTGATAGGTTTTTTTTTTGTTTGGGATTATTTTGTACAATGGACCCACCGCTTCCACCGAGGGTTCGGTTCTGGGATGAACAGAACTGGAACTGCAAGCACCAGCCCATATATCCCATCAGTTGTCACATAACCAGTAAGGAAATCAAATGTCACTGGATACCAAACCTAGTAATCAAATCATCCCTCCATAATTGTGGTTTTGACTTCTGCAAATTTGTATAAAATTTGTTTAAAATCTTCTCTCTGGGAATTTCTGCATTCTCCAAGTGTGACTTTATGTTCAACTACCCCAGGTCATACTGGAGGACTGAGAGATTTCTAGACAGAACACCTCTCTAGGAATCTCTACATTTGTCAATGCAGTTCAGCGGTCAGCTTCCAGCAGAAGTTGTCCATACAGTCATATTGGAAGACCTAGAAATTCCTAGAGAAGGTAAAAAATAACATTTTCTTTAAGAAAATTATATGAGCATGTATGGTATGCTACTGCTGCTGAAGATCTCACTCTCTTGGAGGCACCTTGGAACACCTAAACCCAGTGGTTCCCAACCTGTGGTCTGTGGACCACCAGTGGTCGGCAAGAACTAAAATATAGTCCACAGTTTCACCATTACTACACCATTGCAATGAGAGTGAATGGTATCATGAAACCCTCTTATAGTGCTGAGGCTTAATAAATACGATTTTCTGTGGGCGAGCAGATGGCGACTACTGGATGGCATATGTTCTGTATCAGAAACTAGAGCTGATGTGGTCTATCCAATGCAATTTTCTGAATCAGCACCCCAAATAACCAAACTGAATCTAAAGCTGACCAAAAACTGATTTGTAACCCTTTTGGTACTAATGCTGAAGAGTGGTCCCTGGTCAAAGTAGTCCCTAGTCAAGTGGTCCCTGGTCAAAAAAAAGATTGGGAACCACTTACCTAAACATTAGGAAACACTTCCTGACATTTCGGACCTCAACAGACAGCTACTAGGCTTTGTTTCTTCTAATTCTCTGATTAAATTCAAAAGGTTGGATGAAATGTAAAACCAGTGACTGGAATCCTATTGTTGAACTATGCTATTGTAGATGAGGCAGTGAAGGCAGGAGAGAGATGTACACAGGCACAGTGACCATGAAAAAACTGAACCACTGAAAAAATAGAATGCTTTAAGCCACTAGGTTCTGTCTGCCTTCCTCTGTCACAGTTATGCAGTCTTGGAAGATGTTCAAATCCTATCATAGTGTTCCAGTGGCAGATTTAATGAAAATGCACAAAAATGAGATCACTCTTTGAGTAACCTCAGTTGTGATTCAGTTTCCAGTCTACGAAACAGACAGGATTTTTGATCGAGTGAATTTAGTTCTTTTTTAAAAAGAAATCTCCCTCTTCTTTTATATTCAAGTAGAAAACACTCAATTTTAATTAATAAGCCCTTGTTTTCATCAAACACTTCATCAAGATCTGCTCCTTGTTACAACGCACTGGCCTAATGAGCAACAGCTGAAGCCAATTCCTGGATGTTTTCAACACAAAATGAAAGTGCCAAATTAAAAGCAAGAAAGCCAGCTCCCTTGTTTATTCACACAGCAGGAACAGCAAAAGGGGAGACTATGTTCTCTTTCTTCCCTACCGTACCATTTTTTAACACAAAAAGAATCTCATTGAAAGTCACTGAAGAAAATCAGATCTCTCAATTCCACTTAGACTCTGGACTCCTGCTTAGTCTAGCAAGGACCCGTCACAGGAATAAAGCCAACTAACAACTGAGAGCTGCCTCAAGATGAAATGTATTTCACACAGCAATTAGAGAATGACAGTTTTTGATCACCATCCCATGTGCTGAATTTAGATCAAGGGATTAAGCGGGAAGCCTCCTCATATTAGCATCACATTGTCTCCATAGGCTTTTAATCCCCATTTAGAAGTCATCTAAAAGTCTGATTGCAGACACCAGAATTGCTCATGTCTCTGAATCCTTGTTAATAAAGTTATACATAGTGGATACAGAGATCCATTATCTCCTGAGCTTAGGCAACAGAATTATACTTTTGCTCAGAATTTAATTAATGTTCAGTCAGACAATTTGCCATTTCCTTTTTTCCCCTCCCTCTTCTCCATTTCCTCTTTTGTTTCAAACCTTTTTGCCTACATGGCAACCATCATTTGGGATAGTGGCATAATTTTTACAGTATTACTAACAATATAACCAATAGCTCTATTCAGATATTCCACGTGAGAGCTAAATTAACACCTGAGATGGGGAAATGTGCAAAACACCACCTTGAATCTGGAACAGAGAATCTCCTACGAATGTGGAAGATAGCCACATAAACTAGAATGCTTGAAAACCAGAGGCACATATACAATAGCCACTTAATGCAAAAGGATCTGATCCAAGGTAATGCTGTCAAGGCCATCTTAACATGGACTTGACCTGTGTTAACCAAAGTGGGGTGATACTCCAAATTCTGGCCCATAATTTGGTGTATTTCCCTATGTTGGCCTATGTAAACCCTTGGACTGGTTCTGAGATGGAAACTGGTCACAACTGTTTTCACTGCCATCCCTTGTTTCCAGCATACACCATGCTGGATCAGCCCCAGGAGATCAGAATAGTATAGATCAATGGTTCTCAACCTGTGAGTCCCCAGTTGTTTTGGCCTTCAACTCCCAGAAATCCTAACAGATGGTAAACTAGCTGGGATTTCTGAAAGTGGTCGTCCAAAGCAGGTTGAGAACCACTGGTATAGATCAACCCTTAATTTTCTGAACTCTGTAGAGTCTCCATTCGCATAAGAGATTCAGTTTCAAACCTGCTACTTTTTACAGTAGGATTGTGATGAAGAAGGGGATAATGCTCTCTCCTCCATGTTTCATTTAGCCCTTACACTGGATGCATGAATGGGATTAGTTGCTCTTCTTCAGGCAGGTAAATCTGGCTTTCTATTTTATATTGGTCTGCCATCCAGTTGTTCTCTCTGACAAGTTACACCGGACATTGTAGAATGAATGCAGTTTGAGGCTATTTTAACTGCCATAGTTCAATGCTATGGAATTGTGGGAGTTGTAGTTTGGTGAGGCACCAGCTCTATTTGACAAAGTAAACTAATAATCTGGCAAAACTACAACTCCCATGATTCCACAGCATTGGACCATAGGAGTCAAAGTTGTGTCAAGGTTCATTTATTCTACAGTGTAGATCAGTGGTTCCCAACCTTGTTTTTTTTTTTTTTAACCAGGGACCACTTTAACCAGGGAACAGTTGACCAGGGAGCACTCTACAATGTTAGTATCAAAAGGGTTATGAATCAGTTTTTGGTCAACTTTAGATTCGGTTTGGGGTGCTGATTCAGAAAATTGCATTGGATAGACCACATCACCTCTAGTTTCTGATACAGAACATATGCCATGGTCAGCGACAGGGAAGGAGTGGCAGGCGGCATGAAAGGAGTGGTAATAAAATAAATAAAATATAGTAAATAAAGAGGAAGGGGGCTTGCAAACTAGATTTTCATCCTCTTGGCCCACTAGTGGTCCATGGCCCACAGATTAAGAACCAGTGGTGTAGATGCATCCTTAGTAACCAACTCCCTAATTAGTTTGCCAGTGTACCATTTCACAATCTGGACTAATTTTACAAGATTGTTAGTCAAACGGCCATAATTCTACAGTGTAGAGGCACCTTTAGTCTATAAAAGCTGATGTTACCAACTTCATTCTCTCAGTCTCGAAGGTGCTACAAGATCCCTTTACCTACTCATATCCCAGACTAACCCAGCTTTACTTTTGAATTCTCTCACCTTAATCAATGCCTCCAACTCTTGCTGAGAAACACAGTTGTTCTCCTGCAGGAATTCTGCCTTATCATTGGCTATCCTGGTCTTCTGGCTGTTTTCTTCTGGCTGTTCCAGGGCACGGAAAACGAGGCCCCCAGTGACGAGGTAGGCAACAACCACAAAGAAGATTGCCACAACTGTTTTCCACTTCATGACTGTCTGTAAACCCTGTGAAGGGGCTTCCATACTGACAATCACACTGGTCCGTGGAGAGGAAAGAGAAAGTCGTGGTCCTGGCTGGTGTACGCTGGTCTTATTGGTTTCAGGCTCACAAGCTGGGGGAATGGCTGCCGGGACAGTAACTAGAGTGAAAAACAGAACAAAGTAATATGTGAAATCCCTATGTGATAAAAATTATTTCTAACAAATGTACATACTACAGTCAACCTTTCACATTCACTGGATTTAGCAGCACAGAAAGTGAAAGTGAAAAAACTGAATAAACAACCTGCTAATTTTTTAACACTTCTTTAGAAATATCTAGGTCTTCAAGCATGACACTGATCAACCTCTGATCAATCGCAGAGTGGCACTGTGGTCCTAGACAGGCATGTAGCCGGGGGCGGGGGGCTTGGGGGGCTTCAGCCCCCCCCCCAAATTCTCATGATGGTCCGCGAGAAGGCCTGACTGGTACATTATTTACACTGTTATGTTTATTCATATCATGATCTGATCACCATGCTCAATATATTAGGCCTGTTTGATCAAGAAAAAATTTGTTTCTAAAATCGATTTGTAATTGGGGTGTTTAAAATAATTACAAAATTTTCCCCAAAAAAGTTTTGATATTTACGAAATTTTGTAAATATTTACAAAACATTTTGTAAAGATGGCGGACCCCCCGCGCRTGCGTAAAACAAGCTTCGTTATTYGTATAACTGCAAAGTTTCTTATCAATCCAGGATTCATTTCATCAGGGTTACTTGATAGTAAACAATACATTCTTTTGCATTTTAGAATAYTTTYACATGGCGCTGCAGGAATCCCCTCCCYGGACCCATCTCTTGACTAACTGCCCGATTCACAGAATGGTATTATACGTACACTGAGCTCATAGGCGCATGGAGACAGAGCCGGCGCTGCAGGAATCCCCTCCCCGGCAACACAGCTGGGAGAGAGAGGCGCCTTAAAGAGACAACCGGCCTCCGCAGCTGTGTTGCAGGAAGTGCCAGGAGGAGGAGGAGGAGGAGGAGGGCGCAGGAGCCGGGGAGGGGATTCCTGCAGCGCCGGCTCTGTCTCCATGCGCCTATGAGTGTACGTATAATACCATTCTGTGAATCGGGCAGTTAGTCAAGCGCCCAACAGGCAGGGTCGGGGCTTGGCTCACTGGGTGCGCGCTCGCGCCGCCCCTTCGCCCCGCCCGCCCGCCCCATTTACGAAACGGGCGAAAGCTCGTTAAAACTGTGGGGTCGCCGTTTCGATATTTATAAACCCTTCCGGGTTTGGGAATATGTTTTGTTGTCGTTTCGTATATGCGAAAATTAACGAATGTTTAACGAATTAACGAATTAACGAACGAAACCGCACAGGCCTACAATATATCCCATATGCATGGGGGTATTGGGGTAATGATACAAAAGGTTTGCTAGGGTAGACCCTCTTTCACTCAGACTCAGTGCCCCCCCCCCCGGAAACAAAATCCTGGCTACGGGCCTGATCCTAGAGATTCTAAAGCATACATTTTAATCAAATCTGCTAATGTGGAGGGCCAGTTTTATTTTTTTAACTCTCTCACACACATTTTCATTCTGCATTGTAGTGAAATGGTGGAGATAACCCATTGTCTTCATATGACAATCATTATTGATTTCTATTTTTCAAGCAGCTAAAAGCATCCATTTTAATTTAAGCTTGACTACACAACAACATTCCCTGGCATGGTGGCTTCTAAAATATTAGACTATAAATCCCATTAATTCCTGACAGCATGGCCATTTGACTGAACTATGATGATCATTTTCACCAATAAACACTGCATTAAAACTGTCAAAAACCACATTTCAGTCCATTTTTTTAGTAAGACCATATTTCTTTACTTGTACCAAAATCTGTCATGAAGCATTCAGTTGTTCTGTCACCTTATACGTACCTGATACATATACAGAACATCATATTTCCCATCACTTCAAATTGAGCAATGACAGTTTATTAAAGTTCCCGCCAGACCCAGAGACCAATCAGCGGCAGACAGCACACCTCAGTCAACCCCTGGATCCTTCCCCGCCCCAACCTGAGCCAATTAGTGCTCAGAGCAGCAAACACCCATTGTTTAAAATTGATGACAAACTCTGATAAATGCTTCTGTATATTTCAGTTGCCATATGCCCATTTTGGGAGCACAGACTCTGTTGACATCCAGTTTGGCTGAAGGGAACAAGGCTTCTGTTCTTTGCCTTCATGTCTTCATCTGATTTTGGGAGTCTAGGCATGCCAGGACCCTGAACCATGAAATTGCAGGAGCTGAAAAATCACTAACAATAGATATGCACAAGTTTTTAAGTTGTAATTGTACATCCACTGAAATGAATGAGATTCACCTCTGAATACACAAGAATAAACTGTATACAGTATTTTTAAAAATAAAATATTAAATAGCCATTCAAAAGCTATGTTAGCAATCATCTGGAACTAGTAAAATAAACATTGTTCTCTTAACAAAGCTCTCCCAAAACCTGTATCCTCTATATGCTAATAGGGATGCTGGGAGTTGTAGTTCAAAACAGGTGGAAGACACTATTTCGGGGAAGACTGGCTTTATGAAAGGGAGAGGAAAAACATCCAGATCCTCTACTGTGACTGATGACATGCCACAGTTGGATGGAGGCTCTTATCTGGGCTGAATACTTGTGTCCCTGTTTATTAATTCACAAAAGGCACCATTTACAATTTAATCATTTGTTCAAGACAGGTCAAAATTTATGTCAGAAGCCAAAGGTTATCCTGTGCGTGTTGGATGATGTTTCCGATAAATGGTTTACTACAATTCCCAAAAGTGTGATGTCATCTTTCAGAAAGCAAGGCTCCATTACGCCCAGCCAAGTGCCAAAAGTTCATTTGTTATTTTTCTATTACGTTTGAGTGCTTAAGCTCTGTATCGTAAGAAAAAAGTGGTGACATCAACTTCTCTGTATATTGATCCACAGCCTCCTTTAAAAGGTGAGCCCTATTCACATTGGAGTGAATCCAGTTATAGGCAAATAGCATTTGCCTGGCAGAACGAGGCTTCTCCTGCCCCGTCTTTCCTATGGTAACCCTTCCAACCACTTGAAAATGATACACAGAGAGGGTAAGGAAACCCTGCTAAATGGAGTGAAATATAGCAGTATTATCAAGCCACATAACCCTGTCCCCAAGATATATAGTTCACCAAGGGCTCAGAAATAAATATATAATTTCCCCCTTTTTAAACACCCCTTCCAGACTTGAGCAGACTCAAAACATCAAAAACTGGCAATAGCTATCATTTCTAACCCTTTAATAAATTGTACCTATTCTTCATGACTTTCGATATCACTATTATCTTTTTATATACTGTATATATAAAATATATGAACCTCTTTACCAAAACATAACCAAATAAGTCCAGAGACATTCACTTTCTTGCTGAGCAATTTCCTGGGCAGGAAGGGTAGGCAAACGCCCTGGGCCTTTTCCCAAGCCAAAACAATTAGCAGTCCCCATTGTTCATGTGTATGCAGAGGTAGGTGATTTCCTGCCAGTCCAGATAAATCCAAACCTGTTTATATAGCTATATGGTTTACTTGGAACTGAGAGATTGCTGCCTACAAAAACAGGGCCTTATAATGTGCATGTGTTAAACCTCTTTGTTGACAGCCATGTCTTTGAGTAGCCAAGCAACGTCTCTGTCTTGCACCTTTGTTTTCTAAAAGCTCCTATGTTTGTTTAACATAAAACTAGATGTTGGAGCTCATCAGAGACCCATCTCCATATCTTTACACTTTGTTTCCCAGACAAAGGGGGGCATCTCTGCAGCAGAGTGGTCCTTCACTCTGACCAATCCCTGGCTGCCATCCCAAGCAATCCTGGCTTAGATCCTAGCCAGCCTCCTTTCTGGCCAATCGGGGGAGAGAGTGGAAAGTCTGAATAGCCATCAGAACCATATAATATTATCTTATATTTCTCTGTATGCTTATGCTTGTACATTTTGAAGCTCTCAGAGGGGGTTGAGAGCTGCACTAAAAATATCTTGGAAGTCTGCACTCCCACCAAATTATTGTTTTTCCCTTCCAATGCCTCCTAAGGGATGCATGCTTGTGGGATACCTTGTTTTCCCAACAAGATATGACCTAGGAATTAATTTCATGTTCCTTTTGTTAGTCAAAAGACCTCTTCTAGACTTAAAATGAGCCAAGTGGTGAGATACCATGTCAAAATTGCCTCCCATGCTGCCTAAGATCTCCTTAAATGTATTTTGAGACAAATGGCCCTAGAGGCCATCACATGGATTCACATCTTAAAAGACCTTGAAATAATTTAACAAAGAAAGAACAATTTACCCTAAGGAAATTATCATCCAGTTCTAATACTATTACTGTATTAAACCTGCAGATAAGAGAGGAGGTATTGTTATTCTGAACAAATCTGATTATATCATTGAGATAAAAAACACTTGGTGGATGTACACTCTTTCCGTATAATTTGTTGTTAACATTATGATTCAAGAACCCAAATCATTAATCCCCAGACAACAGATTTTCTTTGGAAACCTAATTCCCGGGCACAATTTTTTCATATTATACCAAAGCCGTCATACAGGTTGCATTTTCCTCACTCCTGCATCAGAAAAGGACTGCTGCATACAGGTGGCCCTCCTTATTCATGGGTTCTGCACCCATGGATTTAGGGGGGAAATCCTAAAAGCTAATCTAGATTTTGTTGTGTGTCATGCACTATGCTAGTGTGTAGGTATGCCCTAAACCAGTGGTTCCCAACCTGTGGGTCCCCAGGTGTTTTGGCCCACAACTCCCAGAAATCCCAACAGTTTGCCAGCTGTTAGGATTTTTGGGAGTTGAAGGCCAAAACATCTGGGGATTCACAGAACCATTGCCCTATACCATTTTACAGATCCTAAGGCTCTCTTCAGCACTCATATGGGTTGTTTGTCCTTTTATATAAGGGATGCAATTTTACTATGCCATTTTACATTATTAGGTTTGAGCATCCACAGATTTTGGAACCAAACCTGAGCAGATATGGAGGACCCAGTATATTATTATCCTTCTTCTCAATTCCTTCTGAAATATCTTTCTGTCATTCATCTACAACTTGTTGTTGTTGTTGT